CTGACTGTCACTACCATTGTGGTCGAGTAGCAGGACGAGTTTAGAAAAATGACATAATCCGCGAAAGCTTCTCGGGAAAAAGACACAGATCCAAGTTAAGTTTAGTTGCTTTTACAGCGGATTGGGTCGATCCGGTTACAACTCTGACTCGAATCTTACTAAGACTTAGAATGATCTGCCGGTAAAAGAAGCAGCCAGTAAAACTCAAATTCTTCTTAAAAGATGCTAACAGGAGATAATAGAGCTTTTTGTCTGTCTATCTAGACCTTCTTTCTCGCGAATTTTGTCGAAAAAAATATTAATATGGAGTAAAAAACGTCTCTTCCGCATGTAAGGTACTAACATCTATATTTAACAGATGTCGCTTTATATACTGTGCGATTCCCTATGTCATCATCTATCGATTGGTGTATAATACTTGCATCTTCGACTTGGATTTGTGTCTTTTTCCCGAGAAGCTTTCGCGGATTATGTCATTTTTCTAAACTCGTCCTGCTACTCGACCACAATGGTAGTGACAGTCAGGAAAGTATTGTTTTTATACACACTCGGCAGCGCTCTATTAGATGTATGACTGAGGTTTCTTTGAGATTAAACTTTTTTTCAAAAGTTGTTTTTTGAGCAAATGGTACAATGGCGCTGCAATTCACTCGCATATAGACATTAAAATAAGAATAGTTTTATTAATGGCCAAATTCGAGTCATCTACGATTGTAAAGCACGAACTGCAAGTCGATTTTGGTAAATAAACGCCAAATATAAATTGTATTAAAGATACTTTCTAACGCTTTTGTGAAACTGATACCGTGGCGAATCGACAACATTCGGGAAGACTTACAGTAATTACAAAATAAACAGCCGACGAAGTTCATGATGTTTTTGAAAGTGAACCACAATCAAGTGTTCGAGCTATTGCAACAGCTTGCTCAATTCCACGAACAACAGTGCATCGAATTATGACAGAGTATCTATCATCGAAACCGTACAAAGTACAGTTTGTTCAACAACTTCCAGAAGAAGACTTACAAGATCGTGTCGAAATGTGCAAAACTTTGATACCAATGCTAGTGGACAGTAACAATCAAGAGAATTTGTTTTTTTCGGAGGAAGCCTCTTTTTATTGAACTGTTCAATAAGCACAATGTGAGATATTGGTGTGAAAGTAATCCACACGTAACCATTGAAACTGTTATGAAATCTCCTAAAATCAACGTTTGGTGTGCGATGTCAAAAAATCGATTGATTGGACCATTTTCTTCGAAGGCAACACTGTCTATGGACAAAAGCATCTGTCACTGCTTCAAGACTTCTGTATTTCAGAAGTTTTCTCCGCATTTCACCGATTATGTACATTAACTTTTGGACAACAATTTTCCTGGCAGGTGGATTGAAAGAGGCGGTCCGATCTGATGGGTTCCACGTTCACCAGACTTAACCCTATTCGGTTTCTTTCTATAGGGATAAAGACTCATGTCAAAGATCTGGTTGAATTGAAAATGAGAATCAACAACGAAGTTAACTCGATTTCAAAAGAAACTTTGTGTAGTGTTTTTTCCAATATTTCGGGAAGGATGGATTTATGTATTTCAGTTGATGGTGATGGTGATTGTTTCGAACATTTGTTGTAAGCAAAGTTATATGGAATAAAACTTTAAAAAACATCACATAAAATGGTGACAAGCCCATCAAAATCGATTGAGTTTTTGAAGAGTTATTCACGTTTTGTTTTTGCGCGGTCTTTTAGGACACCCTTTAGCTGATTCTGTTGTTTTGTGCTGCAATTTTTCGAGATGCTGTCTTATTCGGATACAATAAGAATATTAAAATATTAATGAATAATTTATTTTTCCTAATATTATCTATTTCTCAGTTACACGAAAAACGAGTTGTGATCTTCTTCTTCTCTTATATACAGGGTATTAAAGCTTTAATATTATATTTTAGTAATTTATATAAATTAAATTTTATATTTAATATTTTTATAATTTAGTATTTTCGTTTCTTCTTTACATCAGCATCTTGATCTCGTATTATTATTAGATTAGATTAGATTCCACAACATTCTTCTTGAAACAACAAAGAAGAACATTATCTGTTCTATTTATCAATTCATTGAGCTTCAGCGTTGTACAAACAGCTTTTTGTACAAAAACTTTTATCATTAAACTAATAATAATTGTTGCTGCTGATAGAGCAGAATTGGATGTTGTTTTGTAAAGCTGTTAGTAGGACCTAACAAGCGCCCCTCCCACTCCCGAGATTCAAACTGATCTTCTAATATAGAGCGGTGTACTACTATACTAAGATTAGACAGGGTTTACCATTATTGTAGCCATAATAATAATTATGAGATCCAATCGTCGACATGTTATTTTATCCACTCTCTATATCATTATCACCACATCTTGAGAAATGCCCAGGAGCAATAAAAAAGATATTCATCACACGAGGTAAATACTTCTAGGATGCGTCTAATACTTTTAAGTTATTAATGCGTTGATACTTCTTGAAAAGACTAACTATCAACGATTTGACAAAAAGTAGTTAACTAAAAAACGACTTGCATAGTCGAAACAATGGTTTGTTAAACACAAAATAGTTTTGCAAAAAAATTAACAATGAAAGAGGCAGTAAACGAGATTCAACAAACTACTAGAAAACCTGTATATAGGAAACATTGCAAATATTAAAAAATGTACAATAGCAAATGATCATATTTTAAAAAATAAGTAGAAGTGTGTACGATCTAAATCAATTCCACTTCATTTTCTCGTTCTATAGAAACAAATACATTAAAAGTATGAGTGTTAAAAGAATGGAATAGTTGGAAATATTCGATGATATGGCTTTGTTCAATACAAATGGATAAAAAAAGTCGCCAGGCAATCTTATATTCGGTTTTGGTATGACACCTTCAATACTGACCGGTGGATTCGATATATCTTGAAATGTAACACTCTGAGTTATCAACAACGATGTTCCTGTTGGACTCTAAAAAAAAGTATCAATTTGACTTTTTATTAATTGAGATTTCTAAAATTTTCAGTTTACGCGATTAGTTTGATAATGGAATACCACAGCACCTAATACTGGCTGAGGATTTGTTATCGAGCCAATGTTTGCATAAGCTATCTGAATATCCAAACGAGTAATACACTAAAAAAAAGAATTTTATATATAAATTTTCAATTTTCAATGCAAAAGAATAAATCTTACTGGTGAATTTGGATTTGGCGGTTGATAACCAGTATCACATACAGGGTTTTCAGTTTGACCCTCTGATGATGTACAATAAAAGACCGGCAACCAATCGTTCGCATTGTCTACTGATGAATTGCCGTATGCACCAATAACGAATTGTTCTGATGCATTAATCGAAAGACTAGACCAGAAAATATTTCCACAAACTGTAGTTCCATTTATTCTAACAAAGAAAAAAATAGAATACAGGATGAATTAATATTCGAGAGAACGATATATACCAATTCAGTTTTTTGTACGTATTTAGTCAAGAAATTACTACCTGTTTTATTACATGTTACTACTGAGAATTGCAAAAGGAGCAACGATTTTAAATCAACAAAATCAAAAAAATTGGTACGATACCCATATGAACAATCAATCAAAAGACGTACGCTAATTGACATGTTGATAGTATATTTTCGCCAAACTTAATTGATACTGGATCAACATCATCACATGAACCGCCACTTGAAGCTTGTATATATGTAAAGCTGTCTGTGCTGAAATATAGAAATTGTTGAGATAATTTTTAACTTTTATTGAGACACACTTACAGCGTGATATTCGAACCCTTTATCCCAGCCAGTATTGGTGAACCTTGGCTGTATCCAGGATTTTCACTATTTGAAACTGAAGTCGTATTCAAGTCCTTTAAACCGCGAAAAATATTAACAATGGAATAAAAGTATAATGTTTATCGGTATATATACTTTAACAAATCGAACATTGTATGTTTGAACAAGCGGTGAAGTCGAAGGCAACGTAACATTTACGAGCACCGCAACTACATTAATATTAACAACACCACCTGGATTAAGGTACTGAATTGTTATGGTAAGCTAAGTAGTCGGAGAACATGGTAGAGATGAAATTATACATAAATATTTTTTATTTCATTAATGATCATACTTGTTCTAAGACATTATTACACAATGTAGCTGATGCAGTAGGTGCTACGTAATTTCCAATGTTTATACTACTCGTACAGTTAACTGAAAAAAGTACAAACAAAAAACAGTTTACATATGTTGAATTTTTTTAGAATACTTACTCCAATTAGGGGGTGTCTAAAAGAAAAGAGATATATACTCGTCAGTATGTTTTATTTGATAAAATGGCTTAAAGATATTTACTTTAACAATACAGATTCCATTAAATTGTGATGCATCTAGGAGAGTATTAGTAGTACAGGTCGTACTAGTTACAGCTTGAAGACATGTCGAAGAAAAATCGTTCATATACGCTAATAAGCAAGAATAGAAATAATAAAAGTTTGAAATATAGTTTAAGACGAGTAAACACTGTAGCTTACTAATAGGTTGAGTTCCACCACATTGATTATCAACGAGCGATTGAGGTAACCTCAGCAGTGAAGCATTTTGAGAACTATTAACACCAACATATATCCATAATGGACTTCCAATCTAGAATATATTATTTACATATTTGTAAAAATTAAATATTCTAGAAACGCGACAAAATATTTCTAATATGTGAAAATTAAATTTTTTTAACAAATCTTTAAACTACAACGAATATACTCTTTGTAAAAAATACTCAAACTTTTTTACATACTTCATACGAAGAAACTGAATTATCTGGTAATATAACACTACTGTTAATATTTAATAAACGAATAAAACTAGTTGGATCTAATGTCTGATTTTGTGGTTGCTTATAATATGAATAATCAGTAACTAAATGAAAAATATTATTTTCATATACTATCAATTTTAATACATACATATTCTACATACATTTTGCCGAATCGACACATATGAGTTCACCCATTTTTTGAATAACATATGGTGAATTAGAATAAAATATTGAATTATCTTTGTAACAGTTTATTTGTGCTGAGGAGGATATGGGCGCAGATCTAGAAAAAACATAAAGACATAAAATTTGGTTTTAATTAAATTGGAAATGTAGAATATTGATCTTACTGTGATGAACCATAATCTAGAATACAAATGAAATAATTTTTTATTTATATATCGGATCAGACGTCTGATAACATACTTTGATTCGCTGGAAAATCTGATCTAAATGTTGCACTTTGTGCAGTTATGTAATATTCATGGTAAATAATAAATAGCAACAAAACAGATATTCTATGGCTGATCATAATTGTCTAAAATTGATGTCTACAATAACAAAAATGAATGGACTCTATAAAATAGTTAAGTAATATATTCTATAGAAACTATAGGATAACAACAGTTATAGTTTAAGGTCAAAGAGACGACATAAAAAAGAAACTTTGAATAATTTCAGAAGTCTTAGAGACCTTTCCTTTATTTATTGTATCTGTATTGTATAAAACGTTGCTCAAAATCTCTTGAAACAAATTTAAAAAAAACATATTTCCCTTACACTTGGTTCAAGTATAAGAAAGATAAGCAAACAGTAATACTCAACTTAAATAGTGTTTATCTGATAAAATAAATAACAATATATGAACATTCTTCTTACAAGAACAGAAAGACAAAAATCACAAAAATTTACATAAAAAAATTATTTAAGTTGTATAGTGCTCGGTAACATGTATATTCTCCAAGTCATAAACGTTCACAATACTTCTCTTTTATTTTACAGTCCAGTAAGGGTATTTACGAAACTGTCTTGAATTGGTTTCTAAAATGTAACTAGATTCAACCTACTATAGTTGCTCTATAGCAGAAACTATCACAATAAAATGATTTATCAATTGAAAAATAATTCATATAAAAATAGCAGAGAACGATACAAACAAAAATGAGAAACTTAAAAAAGATTTCAGTATATATTTTTCTATGGATTGTCTGATTTGTATACAATCTATGCATTAATATAATTTAATCCTTACGTACTAAAAAAAAATAGAATGATATATCAGTTTACTAAGATAACACATACACTATACACATACGCCTTTAATGATAAATGTTCAATTTTTTCACTTTGCTCTCGTTCAGTTTTTTGTAGTGATTCATATTCCGATCGTAGTCTGAACAGAAAATATGGGATCGTAAACATTAATTTAAAAATTCAATGATGAAATTCAACTCACCTATCTAATTCGACCATTTTCTCTTTGATTAATGCTTGCAATTGTTGTTTTTCAAATTCACGATATTTTGCTGCGGATTTTAACATATTCTTAGCACCTATTGACTTAAATAAATCGAGAAGAAATGCACAGAGTAGTAAATTTAACAAAATTTATCACATACTTTTAGTCTAGCCTCTTCAACATGTTTTGAATATTGTTCAGTTTTTTCAATTAATGTATCAACAATTTTCTTGAATTCCAATACATCTAAACATAAAATCAAAAGTTCGTATAATCGAACGAAGAAAACTTCAATTTAAGGTCCGTTTAGATTATCATCCAAACAACCAGATGTAGCTTTTGAGTGAAAGTAACACACCGGTTGAAGAAGGTTCCACGGGTAGAATCAAATTTCAAAGATATGTTTTGGTTCTGAAGAAGAGACTTAAGCAAACTGTTACTCTTCTTTATGCTGTCATCACTCCAAATATGTTCGCATTCCAACTCATGTTGACTTTGATGACTCTCACTTCCCATGAATAAAGAAACCTTAGTTTCTGAGGTAACTGAGCGTTCTTTTGATCATTATATGTTAAGAGAAGCCGACTATTACATTTACTTCATTCTTACTTTCAATAAAATCTTTGCATTCATCTCTCAATTCTGCTGAATCAGTAACTTTTTCTGGTTCAATTATACGTATCTTGTTTTCATCATCAATAAACAAACCAAACGATGCAAATGCTTCTTCAACCATGCGTATTCAATCTAATTCTGAAAGTTTAAAATATTGTGTTTATTGATTGTCTCTCCTTTCCAAGAGTTCAGCATAAAACGTTACCATTACCAGCGCTATATTTTTTGCGATACTAGGTAACCAATCGAATGTCTAAAGAGTTACTGTGAAACTAGTTACTTTAATGTTATTTTACATATTCTCAGTACTAAATCTTTTTGCTTACGATATTTTACAAGCTGTATTGTTTTGTAGATGTCACTAGAATTGATTGTATACGATCAGCGATAGAAATTGACTATAGTCACTACCTTCTCTTTTTCTGTTGATCATAGTTATTTTTATATATAAAATGAGTATATAATAAATAGTTCGTGGACAGCGATAAAAAAATATGCTTCTTTCGTGCACTTTTTCGTTTCTTTCTATTACCAATTCATTGGATGAAAGTTGCGAATTTAAACAAGAATCAAATGAGATTTCATTTCCTGTTTTCAGTTTTTTCTCACGAGCTACGATTACCGAGATATTCACTATTCTACACTGTAGAGGGCGCCGTTTTTGCGAATATCTCTGTATAGAGAGGAGAAATCGGGTTGTCAGAGTAAAACATCCAGCAGAGAGATTTTTTTCTATGTTCAATGTTAGTTAACACTCATTATCTTGTAATTTGAGAAACTGGCTCACTGTCTTCTCTTTCCTTCCAGTGAAGATTACACTTTGTTTTCGAATGAATGGATGAATGAATTTTATTTAGTAAAAGAACACATATCACCGGAAAAAAATAAAGTTGGTTTAGAGTTGCTGAAAAGTAGTTTTTCGTATTCAGCACACTCGATAACCCAGAAGATTTTCTGTTTTTGGCCCGAGGTACTTCCGAAAGTTTAGGAAAAGTTT